ATAATAATAATAATAATAATAATAATAATAATAATGAGGATAACAATAATGATATCTATTTAATAAAGAGTGAGAAGAATTTTCTTGCTAGCTTTAAAAAAGAATTGAAGAAATTGTCACAAAAGATTCTTAAGTATAACTGAGACTGCTTTGTAGTGGACAGCAAAACGTTTGAAGGATTTTAAAATACGCACTTATCTAATTCTGCCATTTGTTATTGTAATTATATTATTCTGAATTTAAGATTGCAGCTGCTAGTGAAAAACTGATTTTAATGGGTAGACTGCTTTGAAGTTTTTGTAATTGTGCTACCTTCTTCACAGCGATGCTAATTTCAGTTGTACTTTTAAATTGTTTGCAACGATCGTTTTAGTTAGTCGTAACACAAGCAAAAAAACCTTTCTGATCATTCATTAAAGATTATTGTTTTTGCCAATTCTTTTTCTTAGTTTTATATGTATAGTAATGGCTCCTCGGCATTTGTATCACAAGGGTACTTGAAAAATACCGGTTTTGGTTTGAATAGTGTTTGTAATACATTTAATATAGTCTTCGATTAAAACTACAGTTAAAGCCATAAGTCAAAAAATTTTGTTTTCAGTACGTTTATCCTTATCAGTGGTTTCCGTTATGTTTTTAAAATCATTTTTTGATAGTGAGAGATTGAAGTTATATAAAAAAAGTTCTTTGGCTATTTCATAGTTTGGAAAAAGTGGTAAACTATTAACTTCAATTCGCGGGCTCGTAGGCTTCATAGTTTTATCTAACTGTAATAAAACCAAGACATCTGTTGTCTTTCTACTTAATTAATATTTATTTGAAAAGTTTGTCTCACCAATATTTACAAATCAAAGTTAACATTTGCCTTATAAAAGTTGTAATAAGGTAAAGAGACAAAATTTTACAAAAATTTTTTTCTTACTCCAAAATCAAGAACTAAACTGTATTTTTTTTCTATTCTGTGCTTTGAACATTACATCGCTTGAGACTTCGTTTGCTTTGAAGTAACACCTACAAAGCTGTTTTTTACCTATAATGGTAAATTTAAAATTTATTTATTTATTAACATCATTTTTTTTGAAATAAGCTTTGTAACACTACGTGAATAAATTTAGTTATTTTAATAGATTTATGAAAAGTTTATTCTTCTGCTAACAGCACTGACTTTTAAGAAAACTAATAGTCTGAATAACCAAAAAGGTGCATTCGTAGACAACTGGCAGTTACGCTTTCAAACAGTAAATGTAGATCTAAAGCCCACAAACACACAGGTTGTTCAGAAAGAACACGTGTTTGCTTCCAATACATTATGCAACTTGACTTGATCTACTGCATATTATTACTCATGCCTTAAATTGATATTTTATTTTTCAGTCAAATATTTTGCCTTCTGGTCAAGAACTTCAAAAGTCTCTCTTTAAAAAAACGTAAATTAAGCAGAGAAAATTATTTATTGGTCACTCATAAACTTAATTTTTTATATTGGTGTGCACTTTTGACTCTGCAAAATAGACCGCTTATTTGGCTTGAAACATAAGAATTTTCTTGAAAAACTGTTGCTTTCTAATAAGAGGCTTGAAAGCTAGCTGCAAGTTTTGAGTCAACATTTACTGCAGCGTGTTTTATCCTCTGCAACAGTGAAATGACTCGTACCGCAAATTTTAAAAATGGTGCCACTTGAGCAAAGCATTTCAGGCGCAAAAAATCGGTTTGCAGGAAAGGGCAGGCTTCAACATCAGAATGGCTTTTGAAAAAAATTTTTACCTTAAAAAAAAAAATGCAATTTTTTCATGGTATTGCAGGATAAAAGTTGTGTAGAAGTGTACCACCAAACTGCACTATACCTTTTGGGAGAAACTAGTTTTACAATAACCCCTCCCGCTATTGCCGCTTCCTCCAAGTCTAACGGCTTGTCCGTTCACTTTTTTAAGCTTATTTTTTAAACTGAACAGCCTCGAAAAAGCTGACAAAATTAATAAAACAGTCGACTTGAAGAAGGGTATTCAAAAAGAAGTTACCCAAAGCAGTGAAGTTCCCGAAACGTTGAAAACGGTACCAATAATTGCTTCATTGTTCTCGTTAAGCAAAAAGATGCCAATGTGCTTATCTCTTTCGCTCAAGAATGTATCCTAACGGCTCCTAATATAATGTTAGGCTAATAAAAACGTAAAAATTGTTTTAAGATTATCAGCACTTGCTTGTCAATCACAAGTTTCCTTTTGTCAATTCTCTCACAGGTGTCTTTATAAACACTGTTGAGTCGCTATGGCAGAATTTACGGACGCTTTTTTAAATAACTATTTCGCACACTTTATTTACAAAAATTTGTTGAAATAGGACACTCTATGCAAGCTCTGGCTGCAAGTTTCTGAATTATACTCGATCATAGCTGTATTTCAGAATAGCTATAGTTTTCAATTTTTTAGTGGAGTTTAATTTTAAATTGTTCTTCACACTAAAGAGGTCATTTCTTTCATCAAACTTTTTTTCTGGTTCTAGTGCACAGCAGCCTTTGGCTAAAAGGGGTCTTCAGTGAACAAACTAAATTGTTTCAGCACATTCTCCTGTATCTTCGCCATGCGAACTAGGTGCAGGTTTCTGAAAATAGCTTACCTATTCATCATACTTTTGAATGGTTTGAAAGCCAGACTGCCAAAAATACTTACTTTCAAACAAAATTTTTGCTGTCATTGCTCCTTACTTCTAAATTTTTAAATTTTCTGGGAGACCTTTAAGAAAGAAGACATCTGTTTGGCAACATTTACCCGTAATACAGCAGAAGAAAAGAAAGAAATATACCTCGACAGAAATAGGCTGATTAGGCATCAATGAAATCTTTTTGCTTTACTCCACCGTGTTCTAAATTTTCATGCAACTTAGGCCTCAGACTTGTAAAGGTAATACTAGAAAAATAAAGCAATACGAACTATCAGACATAACACCATCAAATCAATAACAAGAACTAAAAACACTATTATGTATAACTGAAAAGTTCTTCGAGAATGAAGAAAGACACTTTACTTTGTGAGAGCACTCAGCATACAAAAAGTTGGGTAACTATCTGACCTACAACTGCAATTAAAAATGTATTTTATGATAAAACCACTTCTGTTTCCGATTTTAGAAGCAGAGTCAGTGAAGGACTCATCCAGCATTAAAAATTGAAAGTAGGGTCATGCAAACCCTCACAAATTCTACCCTTAAACAAAGAAAAACTACCAGATAAATCCTGAAAATAAACTGTACATTTTGTTAAGCTGCTAACAGTTAGAAATGCGTTAATCTGACCCTGGACCAGAACCACCGCCCCCAGCTTCCGGACTGGAAATAACAACAGCATCATCGGGTTCCGACCCTGAACTAGACACTTTAACTGCATCGACATCCCGCCTTTCTGGCGTAGCACTTCCAGGTGCTTTTGTTTTCTCTTTTTTTTCGTTCAACTCTCCACTTGAAACAGACTCCATCTGTAATGAATTCTTCAATACAACAATTTTCTTCAGACTATCTGACGAAAAAATTTGTTTTGATGAAGACTATCTTGCAAGGTTCGTGCCATACCTCATCTCCACTGTTGTCAACTAAGTCGAAATCGGCATCTTCTAAGTGCTCTATAAAAAAAATGCTTTTGTTTAGTTTTGGGAGACATGTGAGCAGCCAACTCTCATAATAAAAAAAGTCAATCCTTCTAAGTTGCGAAGCTAATTACCCAAATTGTTAGTGCTTGCTCGACTCCCACTTCCTATTCTGGACATGACAAGATTTTCACGTTCCAGTTCGTGCCCTTCTAATAAACGTCTATTTTCTTCTTTCAGGTGCGCTAATTCGCTTTGCAGTTTTGAAACTTCGGCATCATGATCAACAAAAAGCTCATTCAAATCTAAATAAAATTCAGATAATTGAAAAAATTATGGATTCAACATTTTGAGAGAACTAATGAGTTGTAGTCTCCTCCCTAATAAAAATATTAACCGCAGCGAAACAAGAAAGTAAAGATTTTCTAACTATACCTCGTTGCCGTCGACGTAACTTCTCTATTGTTTTGTTAGCATAGGCCAAAAGAACTTCCAAACGGGTGATCTTCTGCTGGTCGGAATTGCAAGTACCATATAACTGTTCCAATTTCTCGCACTTTTTAACAAGCTTCCTAACTTCGGTACTGGAATAATCCAAAATAAAGTCGACAAAATGAAAAACAACTTATATCAAGATCAATTTTGAAGTAACCTTTCGCTACCGTTACGAGCAGCATCAAGTTCCAGCCTCAAAAGTTTTAATTCTTTCCTGTATTGTCGCAATTTGTCACGCATGGCTTGAAAGACCTGTCCAGTGAAATGGTCCATCATCATTCGATCAGCTCTTCTTTCATCCGCACAGGACTTCCTCACAGATTCTACCTCCTCCTATAATATAGCATCACCGATTCATTACTCACAAACTTCAAGTTAGGAAAAATAGTTTGAATCTTGTATGAACTGAGGAGATAATAAAAGACAATAAAGATTCAGCTAAAATTAACCATTAGTTCCGTTGTAAGTTTTTCTTTTACCGCTAAGCGAAGAGTTGCAAAATTCTCCCGCCGACGCTCCTTCTCAATTTCATCTTGTAGCGTTCCAATCTTTTCGTTTGCTTGAATGCATCTAAATGTAATCGAAGTAAATATAGACGTAAACCTACAGATTACCTTCAATACAATTTTTTTGGTTCCTTGAAAATCCAAAAAGTCATGCCTTTACCAGTCCAGAAAATAAAAGCGAAACAATCATCTATAAGATTATACTTGTTAATCAAATCCTCTTTTGTCAAAGATTCTAATGTTGATCGGTCGAGTTCTTGGCTTTCATTAGGGGCTTCACGAACTACGCTTCCCGAATGCGACCGCTTCATTCCTTCAACGCCTGCAAAGTGAGAGTACCAAAAGATTACAGCATGGAAAAATTCAATAGGTTCAGGCGTCTAGCAGAATACATTTAGTAACGGTTTTGGAAGAAATTTCTCGAAAGAAAACAGAATTCGAAAATAGGTCTCAGTTCTTCAGAAAGGAATATGTAAAAATATATAAAAGAACAACCAAAACTCTCCAGAAACCTCCGATTTTATTTAGTTTTTCTCTGCAAACATTATAAGATCCCAATTTCTAAATAAGTGAGTTGTCTTGCGCTGCAACTACTTTGCAAGTACTGCCACAAAAGTATAAAGTTTGTATTATAGCAGCATAACAAGATCAAGGTAAAAAGATGAAAAAACGTCTTCTAGACAACCCAATACATTCACCAACTCAAGTTCACCAAGTATACTCTCAGTGCTAAAGATTCTTTTCATTTCCGTGTGATCAAACATCACAAAAACCAACTTCCGCTTTTGCTTCGCAAACCTCCCATCCACTGCCTAAAGTCTTCAAGAAACTTACAATCAATTTAGACTCCTTTAACAAATAAATGCCGCCGGTCTCCTACTTGCAAACTCACAGAATAAGCGCCCGATAACCTTTAAAATTTGCACAGACTCTCAAAATTGTAACTCTCAATTCTAAGGTCTCGAATGATGAAGCCGTAAACGGACACTTCATTTGCCGTTTAAAAGACACGAAAACTTCCAATATACAGGTTAATTTCAAATTCTTTTTGGTATAAAAAAACCTTAGAAAGTCCCTCGATTGTAAACTGGACCTCCTCGAGACACTATACCTAATTTCCTTTTTTCAGCGTCTTCCGCTGAAAAACTTGTTTAAGCAACCGATGAGAGCAAACGTTTCTTTTTTTTTTTTGATCTTTCTAGAATTGCTCCAACGACTGCAGCCGATCAAGCTCGCATATGCGAAATTTGCAGCATCTCTCACGTAGTCTCAGGCTATTTTAACTTTTCTGTATGCAGTACCGTCGCTACCACCCATGGTAGATCTGCCGGCAAATGCCCTGAAACTGTTTTCTATCTTATTCTCCCATCCAATCTGCATTGCAGAACAAGCGGGACAACTCCTCCTAGACCCACCAAACCCCCATAACAACTTTTGAATTAGTAACCCCTTAACAACCTTTATACCAAACACGTAGCAATTATGGCTCCAAATTAAAACTCAGCCCCACTGTCTACTGAAACCCGAAAGGTAAGCGGCGCCATCTTGACACTAAAACGGCCACGTCAATTAAACACTATCTTTCTTCAAGCAGCATTAAATTTTATTTATTGAGACAATCACAAGGGTAAAAGTTTCAGAAGATTTCTGAAAGCAAAGAGGAGAATTACTAGCCAACCAAAAATTTCAAGCATGCAACAAATTCTCCCTTAACGCTTTTATACATAAGGTATGATAAAGACAGCAAACGACAATTTAATGAGAACAATCTAGACAAGTACATGAGGTGGAAAAATTATACGGAAATAAAAAACCGTGCGTACAACTACCCATAAAACAAAGATCTCAGAAGTAATAACAAAAAAACAAATGTTTCAATGTTAAAACTTCTGTAAAGTATGCAACCTGTAAAAAAAAGTATACATGATTTAATACAAATCTTCCAAGCGTAAAAATAATTACTCTAAAGACATAGATACAAAGGTAACTGACTAAACAATTAATACACAACGCTGTAGATAAAAATGTAAGTACAAACCATCCTTAATAATTTGAAAACTAACTATACTGCTATTCTCCAGCGTGACAGCAAAAACATCTAAAATAAAAACGAACTGGTTGTATGGGACGATCAAAATAGTCACTGTAAAAAAATGTCTAGCGGGAAAGACCTAAATGACTTTAAACGCCAGCGTTGAATCATCCAAGGAAATTTTCTACAAAAAAATTGCACAAAAATGTTTACAAAAAAGTTAAGTCCATCCAAGAATAGCCTATTTGAAACAATTGGAAAGTGAATACAATATTTACAAATGAGTGCAGAAGCAATTTCTCGACCTTTAGTGGACTACAACAAAGCTTGAACTTATAAAAAAACTCCATGTGCTACACTGACAGAGTGTCCTTCAACAATCTTTTGACGGAACGAAAATTTAGGTTTCCAAGCAGTCCTGCGGAATCCGATCTATCACCTGAAAACTATTATTTTAAACTCAACTAACTGAAAAGATGAAGGGTATAGGCAAATTAAATTGCCAAACCGACATGTATTACGTGAAGAACGTACCCAAACCTAGAGTCGGCTTAGTAATGCGAAACAAATACGGTTGGCAGTCCGGAAAAGAATCATCAAAGACTTTCATCAGCTCACTTCTCGTCGGTATTTTCGGCATATATTGAGGTTTGTTTATAGCCCCACAAGTTGACAAAACAATATCAGATAAACTATCAGCCACAATCTCTTTCATCCGCGTGAAATATTCTAAAATAACTTTGAGGCTACTTACAGTTCCAATAAACATAACCACTCAACCGTACACCAACTACAACAAAACCCACATGCCAGAACAAAATGCAAATAAATATACTCAAGCCTGCTGAAAAATGTAACGTACTATTTCTTAACTTTGTCAAAAAAGGCGGGTCCTAATTAACAACCTGAAGCTCCAAACTACGTGGAAAGACTAATTCTGTTCGCTTTGACAAAAAACAAGAA